AGAAACCAATATCTGTTGACCTCGAATCATATAAGCGTACCATACAATGATAGGTCATTTTATACTGGTCAAAATTGAACTAGATGAACTAGTGAACTAGATGAAAGATATAGTTCGTAGGACGAGAAAGATACGTATCTCTCTTTTCATCTTATTGAACTATTATTCGCAACTCTAGTGTACATACTTTAATACGCAATAAATTTTATCTTTATTGTTACCTATGACATAACTTGATACTCGTATACTCGTATAAAATACCTATATTATATGTACAATCAATATTAGTTCTTAAAAACACGTATAATATACGTATATTGTAAAAAAAATACTGCATTCCTAACTGAAGACTACATGGTTGCAGCCACAGCAGTGTGGTTTCGTATTTTGGTTCCAATTAAGAGGCAATCGCGTAACTGAACAGGGTGGCAAGTCAGCAAATAACCACAGGCCCTCAGCCAAAAGTTCACACCTGAACTTCTCTATTTTAGGCAAACGGGACCCATCCGATAGCCACGGGCCTCGATCATTATAGTTACGCCACTGCTTAGAAAAGTTAATTTACGATCTACAGATTATTATTTTCATTTTATACCTATGTAGATTTAGGTAGGTGCATATAGTCATGTACCTATTCGGCAAAAAGGTAGACCGTAGACATAGGTTTATTTTCTACATTTGTTTTTTCTTTTGCGTAGGTAACCTACATACATATTGAAATTCTGTTTACAGAAATAATATAAACATCATTATCTATTTATTTTATACAGATGCAACGATTCAACATGCAGGACCACCCTGATAGTAATGGTCTTACCTATATCTGTTATTATACCTCTTATGACTTCAAATTATGTGATTAGGTAACATGTGCTAGTAATAATAATAGGGTACCTTCTACTTATGATGCCTATCGACTTAGAACTTAACTAGCGCTTTCTTTAGCATGTATGCTATAGGTACACACTCGCTCCTTAATCTACGACCACTAACTTTTTTTATGGGATAAGTCTGTAAACGCAGATAGATCACCTGTTCGTAAGCAATCGACACCGCCCATAGGCACCTAAAACACCAGAGGCGTTACAAGTGCGTTGCCGGCCTTTTGAACAACAGGAATTTGAGGATTATCAGGGGTTCTAGGATTTTTTTTTTTAAGCGGGGACAATCATCGAATGACTGCTCCCACCTGGGTGAGGCGAGAGGGAGTGTCAGACTCTTACTGACTAAAAACCACCCCGTTCCTTCTCCTGCACGTCGAGCCGGAGCCCCGGTTACCCGTTAGGTTCTCCGCGACTCCGAATCGGCATCGGCCCTATTGGGCCCCATCTGTGGTGGTCTGATGGCTCTTTGAGGCGCGCGCGGAACGCGACGCGCCGTACGCTCGGGTAGGGGTTCTAGGATTGGGGAGATTGGGGAGGGGACGTAAGGGTCTAAAGGACAAAGGACTTTTTTTAAGGGGGGGAAAACATCGAATGACTGCTCCCGCCTGGGTAGGGCGAGAGGGAGTGTCGGACTCTTACTGACTAAAAACCACCCCGTTCCTACTCCTGCACTTCGAGCCAGAGCCCCGGCAACCCGTTAGGATCTCCGCGGAAAGGACAAAAGACTAGAAGCAACATAGACAGTATTCTCTAAATTTTCGCTGACCTAACTGCAATTCGTTGCGAGTATAGCGATTATGCCCCCCAATCCCTTCCCTCATGAGGTCTTCCGATTGATGATGATAACGTTTATTAGAGCGTTAAGGTAAAGTAAGTATTAATTACAATTCACTGAAAAATATCTACCTTATTACATCAGCGTCCGTAATTACTTAGTAATCTTAGTATCATTAAATTTTAAAGCACATCTCAGCTAAATGAGTAATGTACCTTGTTGTGAAACTAGAAGATACATTGGATGCCTTTGATTTAATTTCTGATCACGTAGAGACTCAAGACAAATTATTAGTTACATTATTTACTTAAATAAGATTAGTATTTAATTATCATACCGACGAGTGGATAATTCCTATTTATCTAGATAAAATAACAGTTTTAACAAGTGTGTCAGTCATTTAATCATATTCAATGATGATGGTTCAATTCTCGAGAGAGGCAAAAACCACAACATCATTGCCTAAAATATCCTACTGATTACTAGACTAGAAGAAAGTAGACACATCTATATCTTTTGACGCATTTGTATTCTAATAGATCCATCAATTTAATATTAAGTTGTTAGTGAATTGTGAGTAGTTGAAGTGTTATCACTTAAGTACTTAATTAAATACGTATATATAACATGGTAAATATTTTTTTGTAATCGACGTGGAACTTGCAAACATTGACTATGGAAAATAAGTAACGTACCAAACTGTAATAAAAACCATAATAAAATTGTAGACATAAGGTCTATTGAGTAAACCTATATATTTACCAACCTATCCACCAAATTAATACAAATAAAATTGTTTAAGTAGGACCTACTTGCATGCAACATCATCAAACATTGAATTATTTATTATTATTTAAAAATTACGTAGAGATCCGAAACAAATATAGGAAGGAAAAGAACATAACAATAGCCGAACAATCCAAAACTATAAATAACTAGCGACCCGCCCCGGCTTCGCACGGGTGCAATATGTATATACATACAAACCTTCCTTAAGAATCACTCTATCTATTAAAAAAAACCGCATCAAAATCCGTTGCGTAGTTTTAAAGATCTAAGCATACATACGGACATACAGCGAAAGCGACTTTGTTTTATACTATGTAAATAATAAATATTGTTATCTTTCAAGTTTATCAAAATTTCAAACTGTCGTAAATTACTATTTCCCTCTTTAAATATTAAATTAAATCAACTGCAATAAGGTAGGTACATTATCTACCGACCTATTGTGCGTGGGTTGTAGTTCCGTAACCGCGAAGGTACTTGCCTAAAAGGTTTGTAATCAGTTCGAATTTTTGTTTAACGGACAAAGGGCTTGTACTACCTACTTCCGTCAGTTCTGATTATTTGATGGAAAATCTCCAATCTAATGAGGTACTACTTAAGCCACCTATTAATTAACGTTTGTTTACGATTCCTTAATAGATATATTAGGCATGTTAACTTGAATAAGTATGTCATAATAAATTAATTGATTGATTGATTGCTATGTAGCACAAAAACATTTTCATGTAGTTGTTGAAGAAACGAGACCATAAACCTGGCACTGACAAAAAGTAATCACTTTCATGTAGAGGCAAGTTATTAACCCTAAATCGATAAGCCCTAATTTTACACTAAAATACGGTGCAAAACTACTGCCGTAGCTCGTAGTACGTAGCTGAATCGTGCGTAGCGGCGTGTTGCGTAGCGTGTAGCCGCGTGGTGCGTAGCGTGTATCGGCGTGGTGCGTAGCGTGTAGCGGCGTGGTGCGTAGCGTGTAGCAGCAAGTTACTTGGCGCGTAGCTACGTAACGCGTAGCCCGTAGCAATGCAATACGTAACGCGTTGGAGCGTTTTCTTGCTATTAATCTCGATGGCGTGCAAACGAAACCCAAAAAACATACGTATAACCATGTGTATAACAAGTCATCCCTTATTTAAAGGGAGGAGGTAGAGGATGGAGGGTGGAAGATGTTTAACTTAAACTCCCGCCTATATCAATTTTACAGACTTCTAGCATTTAAATTTGCAGAAGTGATATACAACTATCACCCCTTCTTTTATTTTATTTTTTTGAGGGGCGATCTATCTCCCATTAGATTAAACGGTTGGGGATAATTTTTTACGAATATATATTCGTATGTTTTAATTATAATTTGTTTCTTTTGCTTGAAATCACAACTTATGGCGACATATAATTTTTGGGATAAATAACATGCCTACATATTTCTTTAAAAAAGGTAAAATTTTCTGAAATAAAATATATCGTTAGTATATAGTATAAAACAAAGTCGCTATCCACCGTCTGTCTGTCCCTATGTATGCTTAGATCTTTAAAACTACGCAACGGATTTTGATGCGTTTTTTTTTAAATAGATAGAGTAATTCTTAAGTAAGGTTTATATGTATAATACATGCATTATTATACTACCCGTGCGAAGCCGGGGCGGATCGCTAGTATTCAATAAATGAAGTTGTGACTGCTTTTATTCATTAATCAGTACAAAAAATTAAAAAATTGCGTATTTTGGTTACAGAACAGGATGTATTATTATGTATTTTAAAATATTTCAATACATATCATTTTTATTACAATCGGCAAACAATGTGTAACGGCAGCAAAGACCATGAGCCTGTTATTTATATTTTACTTGTAGTAGACATGTTTTTTGGAAATTATTTGCTACCATTATTTATTCAGGCACTCGTTTAGAAAAAAATTATATACTTCAGTATTTAAATTTTCATCAACAGCCTATAAATGCCCACTGCCAAGCAAAGCCTCTTCTCACACGGAGAAGGTTTGAGCAATAATCACCACGCATGCTCAATGCGGGTTGGCGATTACAAACTTATAATTAGAAATTATAAGCCCAGGTTTCCTCACGATGTTTTCCTTCACCGTTTGTCAGTGGTGTCTAAATAATCTTAGAAAGTACATATATCTCGGAAAAAGTCACATTGGTACTTGCCGTTGGTAGGTTTCGAACCTGCTTTCTCATGCATGAGAAGCCAAGTCCTAAACTTCCGGGCCACCACGACATTAAATTATTTATAATCAAAAAGTAAAAAACATGTTAATACTTTAACTGCCAAGTTTAAAATGGTGAAAGTCAAACCTCCACTAGCGTCAGGCACCGGTGACTGACGTGGCGCTCTAAGGGTTAATTGATATAATGTGGAAGAACAAAAATTTATGCAAAGTCCCTTGTGTAACAGTAAGAATTTATCCAATGAATATTTCTACAGTATATTTTAAAGTTGCTATTTTTGAGGCTTTTTCTTGTTGAATTGGAATGGGTGTCAGAAATGGTATATAAAGAAAACAAACATATTTAAGAATTAAACATAACATATTTATTCGGCGGACACATTCTGTGCTTGTCTGGCAGCTTTCCGTTCCTGCTTTCGTTTCATTAACATTTGTTTCTTTTCTTCTGGAGTCTTCTTCAAACCCTTCATCTTGCGGGTCTGGAGTTTTTGAATCTCCTGCTTGCCCATATGCACACGACCCAACTTGGAACCAAAAGCATCCCTGGAAATGTTCTTCTTTGTGATCGGTTTGAGCTCTCTTGGTACCTTGCATGCTTCCTTGAAAAGATCATCTGCTCCTAATCTTGTTCTCCTCAGTTTAAAGTCTATGGAGGGTCCTGGAAAGAGAAAATACGCATAAGTAATTGATTTTATTAGCTTACAGCAGGAATACCTCCATTTTATGTGAAAAGAGAAAAAGTAAATTTTGAGGCTGTAGTGGAAGAGTAATTTAATCTTAACCTCTCATAAACTATACTACTATATAAGACACAATAGAAAATGGTTAATACTGTACACAATACACTGTCACTAGTTAAAGAGTTTTAAGTATTCAAGAGCCTTGCTCAGCACGAATGGGCTTGCTCGACTGCCAGACTATACCACGGCCTTACAGAAAACTGACGTTAAACAAGGCTTGCGTTGTGTTTCGTCGTGTGAGTAAGGTTTACTCTCCAGTAACTTGTGACGACTCACATGAAGCAAAAAGTATAGTATTCTAAACTAAGACAGACTATTCATGATATTAAAAAGTAACAACATACCTATCTCCTCCAGCTCAATTCTAGGTGTCCTCTGTCCACTCTTTTTGAGCTGTATTCTGTATGACCTGAAGTAGATGTTACCATCATCTGTGGCTGTGAAACTGATCACATGCTCCAATCCTTGCAGTCTTATTGATTCTACCTGTAATGTAATTAGGCAAAAAGAATAAGAAAGATGTTGTCTCTTGTTTTAACACCCGCAGTGCAAGTGTGTCATTTTCGAACACACTTGTTATTACATTGTGTATCAAATATGATACAAACAGCCTACAAAATATACCATCAGAAAAATATATTTCATGGGCCAGTGCCCCATATATGATAAGATTCTTAAAATTCTGAACAATAAAAGGGTATGATAAGAACAAAACAAAAAAAACATATAAGGGAGAAAAAAACAAATATCATAAAAACTGAGGTTTGGGCGATTAAGGATCGGTGGTGAGGGTGTTAAGTGATAGATGGTGTTAAAATAAACAAAGCTATTGAATGTAAATCATGCATAATAAACAAGGCTTGATAGTGTCATAAAAGTATTGCCATTAACATTATTGTCTTTGAGAAACTTAAAAAATCTGAGAATGCATTTAACCAAGAATATGGTTACTCTTCACAGGACTTGTGCTTGTACTTCTTAATCCCCGATTATGAAAAATCCACAACATACAAAAGTAGACTCTAAACATTGGAAAAAAGGTCTATAATGGAGTATGTGGAGAGTAGTCACTGATGACTGCTTGGAGAGTTAATACAAGATATCAAAATTCAGCTAAACTTGATCAAAATTGGTAACATTTTGTCTAACTACACTCATTAAATTTTGTAAGAATTAACTAACCTTTTCTCTGCAAAAGAAATCAGTAAACAAAGATTTCAATCTCTTCAAATCTTGGTTTAAATCCCATGCTGGTCCATTGAATATTAAACATGGTTTTATGCCAGCTAGAACCTTCATGTTGTGGAACTCTGACATTGCCTTGTAATTATCTGCGCCCAACTCTATCATGTCCAATATACCATAGTCAAAAGTACGGCCTAATACTATATTGTGGGGCCTCTTCTTAGAGTGGGAGCCCACTCCAAATAACGCTGCTTCTTTCTTGTAGCATAATCTGTAATTGACAAGAAAAAAAATTACCACATGCACTGCAATAATACTGTCATAGTCAGTAAGATTTGCTAACAATACAAAACTAACACTATAACCTGTTACAATAAACAGAAATACTGTTTTTACTAAAGTGACTGCACACTGTTTATTATTACACAATATTAGACAAATTGTTTCAAACTTACTTCTCAATGAGCGTCGCATCTTCAAACGGTACGAAATCATTCTTTCGGCTCAAGTATGCAGCATCTGGCTTCTTCAAATCATAGATATCCTTTAACAATTTACGTGTGCGCTCTGAAGGTTTGCGACCCTGAAGAAACAGGGCTTGTTTGGGCCCTTCAATGGGCTTGGGCTCCTTAGATTGCAATACTTTTTTACCTTTCCTCGTCGTAGGTTTCCTGTAAAATAATATAAGCGTTAATGTTTTTACTTAACCTTTCACTAATATAAGTATTGAGCAATAATTCTTACTTCACTCTCTGTATTATACCCATTTTGCAAATTAATTCTTTACTTTGTGAACCGAAACGATAAACACGTGTTTTTCAAATGCAATGCAAGATAAGTGTCATTGTCAAACTGAACATAGACGTTAAGTCAAACTGTCAAAATTGAATGACGTTTGAAATCTGTCTATTCCTGCACTCTTCCAACATATAAAATCGGTGTATCCTCTTTCTTTTTTTAACAGCATAACATGCTCAAAAGTATGCTGAATTAACAATGTTGACTCGGAACGTATGTAGGCGCGAGATACTGTCAAAGTCTAATGTCAAAACATTGTGTAGACCTCTTCGTTTCATGCCATGCAGAAATTAATCCGATTCGGAGTCGCGGAGAACCTAACGGGTAACCGGGGCTCCGGCTCGACGTGCAGGAGAAGGAACGGGGTGGTTTTTAGTCAGTAAGAGTCTGACACTCCCTTCCGCCTCACCCAGGCGGGAGCAGTCATTCGATGATTTTCCCCCCTTAAAAAAAAAAAAAAAAAAAAATGCAGAAATTAATCTAGATGTATTTTTAGAATTAATATTAGTTAAATTTATTTATAACCTTTGACTTAGTAGAACTTTAGACATAGTTTTTTCGTATGTTATGATTAAAACTGACTTCAAAAACAGAAGGATGTTTCTTCTCAGTTTGACCTGTATATTATATATTTGCGCGATTATCTCGCGATTGGCTGAACTAATTTTGATACGGTGTTCAGAAAAGTGTTTTTCACGCTTATGGGAAGGTGTTAGTATTTTAATAAACCGACATCAAAAAAGAAGGGGTTGAAGTCAGTTTTTGGAAACGTATGTACCTAGTTTGTAAAAGAATTATTTATTACTCGGATATAGTTAACATTACTCAGGTTTAACCTATCATGAAATCATAAACAGTTGGTTTATTTTACATTTTACATGCCATAACTAACGTATGAACGCATAGCTACTAAGCTATAGTTAAATATGGTGTGTAATCCTGTATTGTAGCTAATACAACAAAATACAAATATTGATAAACAGAGGTTAAAAAAAATGTAAAAGAAGTAGGCATCTACTTCACATTAGCTTAGGTAGGTAGGTATAGCCCTATCTCGAAACAAGTTTACTTACCTATTCATATTTTATACGACATATCTAATTACCCTAGTCATTTGCGATTTCTCACTAAACCAAACGGGTTTATGTTTAGGTATAAACAATTTGTCTTTGGGGAAAAACTTCAGTAAGGTAAATATCTTGCTATTATATAAAAATGTTAAGGACAAACAAATGGTACCTAAATGTATGAAAATGAATATAAATTGTAGATAATATACCTACATGCTCCGAAATTCGGTTTCGTTTTTTAAATACCTAACAACCGAATGGGTCTACCGTCTTTTTTCACACAAGCACCATCGTCTCATTCTTTGTTCAGTAGGGAATTAGATAGTGTCACACCACTGGACGTTCAATATTTGACAGCTGCAGTGATTAGTTTTTAGTAACATTTGAATTAAAGAGGAGTTGTTAATTTGTTAATAACTAAGGTTAAATGAAGTCCAATGATTGAGATGAATTCTATTTCCCTTCACACTAAGGTTTAAGGCCATAAAAATACCAAAGTGTAGTACCTACCTAGTGACTGCACAAAGGCAAAAGTTGAATGACATACAACATACAATTACCTTTATTAGGCTGTTCAATTTTAGAAATCTTGATAGATGTTAATGTTTATGAATTTTCTTTACACTTTGTTGTACCTACTTAATTTTATATGTGAATATATGGCCTTCCACCGTTGGACAAAAGCCTCCCGCTAGGTAAACCTATTCGTCGAACGACAGCTCGGCACCTGCCTGCATCCTCTGGCTACCCGCGACGCTGGCGACTCCTTTGTCCAGCTTTGGACGTCTTCCGGCTGTTGATGATGATAAATATGGACACAAAACCTAACGCCACTGTTATGTGGCTAAAGCGCCTTAATTCGAAACGAAAACGGAGTACTATTAATAAATAGATCGACCTACTTACAACTACAAAAACTATGGGAAATATCAAGACGTCAGTAATGTTAGGTGATTTTTAAAGAAAAAATCATAACAGTAACACATTACCTACCAACTTAAATAAATTAACAATTTTCCTCAATATTTAAAATTATTGAGTTTGCGGGATTAACACGTATTCGGTTAATCCTAAACGTTGGAGCTAAGCACGTTTCATGCAGAAACCAGAAAAACGAGTCTGCTTTTAATACAACCGCTTTGACGTTCTAATGATATGTTCAGCGTAAGCAGATACCGTGCTTTATTAGTGTTTTTCCTTATAATTGAATTAAATTGCACATGTAAACAGACACTCACGCTTTTGTCGTATAACAGGCAGAAACTTGAGAGAAAGAACGAACACTTCTTTTGTCTGAACGATCACAACCACTCTGCTAAGAGTTTAGGATGTCGAAAAACAATGTAGAATCTATCGAATGCTGTGGCAAGATCCCTGCATATTTTTTTAATCAAACGAGCACGCTGATAGCCCTTCATTAATTAAATTGTATGTCATATTTTGTATTACGGAGACTGCTTATTAAAGAGAGATCACAAGCACGATTGCTAAGCTTAAGATCTCGGATTTCCCCGGGTCAAGCTAATTCAGGCTAATTGAGTTTTCTATTTGGAAATTCTCAGTTGCAGTAGTAACTTAGCAAGGAGTCTGAAATAGTGATCCTAATCCTTACTAATCACAGATGGGGCCCAATAGGGCTGATGCCGATACGATGTCGCGGAGAACCTAATGGGTTACCGGGTCTCCAGCTCGAAGTACAGGAGTAGGAACGGGGTGGTTTTTAGTCAGTAAGAGTCTGACACTCCCTCCCGCCTCACCCAGGCGGGAGCAGTAATTCGATGATTGTCCCCCGTTAAAAAAAATCCTTACTAATCCTACATACTACATTACAAGTAAACTAAGAGTACCTAAGTATAAAAAAATAATTACTTAGGGGATAACATGCGATTAAGCAATATTTAACTGCATTCTTTATGTTTTAAAATTGTATTCTGGCTTCGCATCAACCGTTTCATTTCTCTCCACTTCCCTATGGTTGTCTGACAAAAATGGAAGCAAGGAATAATTAAAGGAAGATGGGAGATCATTATAGAGCTATAGCAATCGTAGCATAGCAGAAACGTGTAAGAATGAATTATCATGTATGAAACGAAGACTAAAATGAATAAAAAACAGAATCGTTCAAAGCGGGACGGCGCGCCGGTGTTAGTTAGTACAAATAATACCAAATACCAAGCTAGATACGTCGTTACCTACACAGTGATAATCAGAAATAATCACAAGAACGTTCAACTTTATGATATTTACAGTCTGACTGAGATGAGACTGTAAAGTTGTTATGAATAAAATTAACTAACTCTCTTAGCTTCTTAACTGAAAAGATTTTAATAAATGATTTTGAGAAGATTTTCTAGTAAGTAGGTACCTAAGTACCTAGCACGTTCAATTTGTTCCTTGTAAACGCTTATTTAGATTCCAATTTGATTAGCAGTCGCCATACATAAAATAAAACAATTAAAAAACGAAGTCAAGTTTACCAAAATCGAATTCGATTGCACATGCATAAGTCCAAGAGCTCACGATTAGCAACCAACAACCATCTATGTTAAGTGTTACCATTTATACTCAAATACTAAAAACTAATTTAAATAATCAATTTTCATAACTTTAATCAACTAAATAGGTATGATCTAAATAAAATAATGTTCTCCTTCCAAATGAAAGTAAAATTATAAGTGTGTACGAACTACGAACAAAAAAAACTTATATAAACTAAAAATACCTTATAAGTAGGAAAGATTTATTTTCTTTATTAAGTATCTTTCGTCTTTTGTAAGCTTAATTTTTAGGGACTTACTTGCTATTCCGCTAATCAGCAAGAGCTTAAAAATAAGTCCCTAAAAATACGATTGTGCCGGTCCGGTCTAGACTAACTCGTGGGAAAACTTTTAAATCCCCGAGATTGGTAATTGGGTTCAGATCCCTGCTTCGCGGTCTCTATCAAATACCTTTGTAGTCTTTTACTGCCAATTTCAGACATTAAACAGAAACCTCATAGAAATAATGACAAAAATCATTCCTTATCCATTGATTTTGGATTGATTATTGAAATAGGCAGTTAGTCGGCTCTTACAAACGACATCACAGGATCCCTGGAAGAGTACTTACCTAGGGTGGTGGGTGAGAAAGGTATTCTGCTGTCAGCACCGCATAGACTGGAACAGAAGAACCCAGGAAGCTAACATAATTGTCGAAACATATTTGTGCGTAATAAACTTGTTCACAAAAACTAAACCAACATAAAAAACTAGGCTATGATTAGTCTATCGTCTGACTAATTTAAGAAACATAACATCACATTTGTTATTCCCCGAAAATACAGCGGTGTTCAATATTTCAGTTGGTGCGGAGGCAGTTTGTGGTTTTACGAAGAAATTAATAGCTTTAAACTAGTTTTTTTTTCATTTCAGATATTATTTCATTATCAGATAAGTTGGTAGACGAACAAACGGATCACTTGATGGCAAGCACTCGGCGTCACCCATGGACACCCACAACGCCAGAGGCGTAACAAGCGTGATGCCGGCCTTTTAGGGTTTAGAAATTTGAAGATTGTTGGGGATTCGGGGTCTAGAGAGGGGGGTTAATTGGGCCTCTGGTAACCTCAGTCATACGACGCAACGCAACGCAATCATTTTACATCGGTTTTCTGTGAGGCCGTGATATAATTCCGGTCGAGTCGGCCCATTCGTGCAAAAACAGCTCCTCTACAACTAATGTTAAAAGATTATTAATTTTGGCCGTTAGTCGATCCTAGTCAGACAGAACATCTACAGCTAACAGCTACAGCGATATAAGATGAAACTCATCCACACAAAAATGCCGCGATGTGCATCAATTTCTTGCACACTTAGGTATGTACCTGAATAGTGAATATTTACATGCAATAACACAATAGA